GAGACACGGGCGGAGTCAGGCAAAGCACGGCCGTGCCCTCGACCGTGCTTTGGCCACTGATGCTTTTAAGCAGATTTTCAGCCACAATTCAAGGGGATTCAAGTTTTTGAGAGAGATATCAGTTCCTAGAGAGAGAAAGTGACGAGCAAGAGTTCCCAAGTGCCCTAGATTGATCTTCAACACCATTGGAGGCCAGCTTGAGCTTGGAGAAGTGCCAATCAATGTCCAGAAGCAGGAATCCATCCTTCGCAGTATGAATTCCGTGTCTGATTCTGCTTTTGCTTTCTTCTCCATGGAGTAGTTCTCCCATTCATCTGGGTATGGAGAACCCTAGATTTGTATGTTAGGCTTTGATTGTATGAACCCAAGTACTGATTCTATGATTGATTATATTCGATTGAGGTTTTAATGATTGAATGACTTGAATCCTGATCAAATTCCTGTTGTTTCTGCTTTGACCTAGAATGAGAATATCTGCCTAGGTTAATAGAGTATCCTTGATTGAAGGTAGGGAGTTGGTGACTTAAGTCGAGGAGCCAACTCACTATTCTGTACCGGATTTACTCCGGTAGTGGAGGTTTTGTTCTTAGGGCCTCAATCTGTCGACTCCGGTGGAGGTTAGTCGCCCGCTAGAGAGTCAGATTGAGAGGGTCTGAAGACCTTTAGTCGAGACTTCAGGCTGTTTAAGAACCTTCCGCAGTATAACTGTCATAGAAACTGAACTTGGTAATTACAATCCGGCTTAACTGCAGTCTAGGGGGAACCATATCCGGGTGACCTCTTTAACCTGAATACAACCAGTTTACTTGCTTTGTTTGTTTGGTAGTTTAGACTTGCACTCCAGTTTTATTGCTAGATAACAAGAACTCACTGAGTAGTCAGCAAATCTAGGACCCGGGTTGATAATTAAACCCAAACCCGCTATACTACGCTTTAGGAAGTGGTTTCACTTGGCCAATTCCTGGAGTGACAGTAGAGTCGAGTCAATTGTAGAGTGAGCTTTCTCCTCCAAAGTAATCCACTCTTCTTCATCTATGCTTTTCTTCTTCGATTTTTCATACAACGGAGCCCACAAACCCTGTTGTTTCAACGGTACTTGCATCTTGATCTGCCACAAACTGAAACTGTTTCTTCCGGTAAACTTCTCAATCTTCATACTGATAGCAGCCATTCTTACTATCAAACAAACTCCAACCAAGCTTCTCACCAAAAAAGCAAGACCAAAACACAACTACCCAAAGTCAACTTCAAAGCGATTCCTCCACCGAACCAAGCTGAAGAATTGAAATCTACCTCCACAAAGCAAAACTTCAGTCCATCGACAAATTCCCAAAACCGCAACCAAAGGCTCTGATACTACTTGTCAGAACAGAAGCTTGCAATCTATAATCCAGAGCAACACAAACGAACGCGAATTTAACGTAATTCACTAACACAATGTGTGCTAGCTAATCCACTGGCAGGGGGGACAAATTTCACTAATTTGAGGAGAGTACAGGTTACAAACCAAATTCCAAACGGACAAACCAAACAAACTAACCTGACTGACCCCTACTACAGACTAGGGTGATGAAGAGTATTTATAGAACTCTTCTCTTAATCCCAAACAGAAAACCAAACACCTTTTCCCAAACATACATGGAAAAGCTCAAACAAAGCCCAAACACAAACCCAAACAAAATAGGCCCAAAACACAAAACAAACCCAAATCAAATTCAAGTCATATTCTAACAATGAGCTTAAAGGTTTACTGGATGCAGAGGAAAGTTTTTTAAGACAGAAGTCAAGAGAGAGTTGGTTAAAAACAGGGGCCATGAACTCAGAGTATTTCTATCGATCAGTCAGGTCAAAACAAAAGCGGAGCACTATTAGAATGCCTAAGAATGAGTAGGGTGAGAAGGTGCAAGATGTGGATGAGATAGCTCAGATTGCTGTCCGTTTCTATAAGAATCTGTTGGGGGTAGCTGATACTGAAGTCGAGGCTCAGTCTGATGATTTCTATGCAAGGCTATTGAAGAGGAAACTTACTGAGGAACAAACTACTTGGCTGTGTGATTGTTTCACGGATGAGCATATCAAGGATGTGATATTTGGAATGGGTGGAGATAAGATTCATGGACCTGATGGATTTTCTGCTGCATTTTTCCATTATGCTTGGCCACTTATAGGCCCTGAGGTAACCTCTGCTATTCGTTATTGCTTTGAACAAGATAGAATCCCTAGACCTGTTAATGCTACAATACTTTCTTTGATCCCAAAAGTCCCCAACCCTGATGAGATGAAAAACTTTCGGCCTATTTCCTGTTGCAACATCCTGTACAAGAGCATTTCAAAGTTGATTGTTAATAGGTTGAGTCCTTGCTTCCATCCTTAATTAGTAAAAATCAAACGACGTTTGTGAAAGGGAGACTTATTGGAGAAAACATCCTTTTAGCTAATGAACTGGTTAGTAAATACTCTCAATAGAACATCTCTCCTCGCTGTGCTTTTAAAATTGATCTTATGAAGGCGTTTGATTCAGTTGATTGGAATTTTATTAGTCAAAGGGTATGGGATTTCCTGAGTGATTTGTGACCTAGATCAGAATGTGTGGAGACCCCCATGTTGAGTGTGAGTTTTAATGGGGTTAGTGGGTTATTTTCCTTCAAAAAAAGGTTTCAGACAAGGGGATCCCCTTTTCCCATATCTGTTTTCTATAGCCATGGAGATTTTTACTTGTTTGATTGACAAATCAGCTTCTGAAGGGTTATTTCCCTACCACCCAATGTGTAAAGGAGTCCACTTGACTCGTCTATGTTTTTTTGATGACCTGTTGGTCTTCTCCAATGCTTCAAATTCTGGGATGTTCGAGTTGCAGAGAATTTTGGGTCAATTCATGAGGATTTCAGGACTTAAATCTAACCTAGTAAATGTGAGATTTTCTTTGGGGAAGGGGGGGGGGGGGGGTTAGATAAAGATGAAAGGAAAGTGAGGGCTGATAGGTTTGGCTATCGGCTTGGTGATTTCCCTGTTCGTTATCTAGGAGTCCCACTGATCTCTGGGAAGCTAAGTGTGGCTGCCTGCAGACCTCTCATTGACAAACTCCTTGCTCGAGTTAAGAGTTGGAAAGAAAAATCTCTCTCATATGGAGGGAGAATTGAACTTGTGGGAACTGTTTTATATAACATTACTCAATTTTGGATGTCTGTATTTCTTCTCTCAAAGGCTGTTATTAAAGAAGTTGAGAAGATTTGCAGTAAGTTTGTCTGGGGAGTTGGCAGTGGTGTGAAGCTTAGGGCTAATGTTGTTTGGCAGAAGCTGGCTTACCCTAAGAAAGAGGGAGGCCTTGGTTTAGGGATATGCATAGTTGGAACCAGGCTTGCATGATTCGACATCTATGGTTAATCTTATTACAGGAAGGCTCTCTCTGGGTTGCTTGGATCACTCGCTATAAATTGAAAGGAAGGGATCTCTGGTCCTGTACATCGAGCTCCTGGAATTGGAGGAAACTCTTGAAGCTGAGGAGTAGGGTGGAAGCACTGATTTCAGTTTGCCATGATGTTCTCTTGATTGACAATGCTCATATGCCTCAGTACTCAATTAGAAAGGTTTGGAAGTTACTTTGTCCTTGTCAACAACGTGTTTCATGATGGCAAATCTTGTGGAAGGGAGTGGCCATTCCCAGAAACAGAATAATTACATGGCTGGTAGTCAGGGGGAGCATCAACACAAAAAGGAAGATGCTGAAATGGGGTTTTTCGGGTGACCTATCCTGTTGTCTTTGTAATTCGGGGATAGAGGATAGGGAACACTTGTATGTCCACTGTTCATTCTCGAGGTAGCTGTTTGCTGCTCCTGTTGTCTTTGTAATTCGGGGATAGAGGATAGGGAACACTTGTATGTCCACCGTTCATTCTCGAGGTAGCTGTTTGCTGCTCTTTTCTGCATATATTTCCAACCTCCTATGGTGCAAAATTGGGAGGAGTTGATAGCTTTCATGATTAGGAAGCTGGGTGGATCGACTGAAGCTGCTGAATCGGGGCGCGCTATCTGGCAGGCGTGGGTGAGCCACATTTGGAGGCAACGCTGCAGGCGTTTGTATGCAGGGGAAGCAAAAGAATATCAGGTCTTGATGAAAATCATCCAGGGAGAGATTGAGTGTGCTGGGTATGCAGAGGGTTTCCTTATTTTGGATCATCTAATTTGTCTTAGAGGCTCAGTTTTGATAGGTTTTACTTACTTCCTATTGCAAATTGTAATCACCTTTTTGGTTGATATAGCCTAGTTAGCAAGGCAGTTGCGAACACTTATTTTGATGAATGAAGATCCCAACGATTCTTCAAAAAAAAAAAAAAACTATTAGAAGTACTTTTTAATATGGGAGGTTGTGTAAAATGACTATAAAGGACTTATAATATAAACTATGAATAATAATTATAAACAATAAAATGTAGTCAAAATGAATCTTGTTAGACTTCTTTTATATTAAATAATATAATTTATAATTTATTTTATTTTTAAAATGATATAAATGCAAGAAAATTATATTTTCTGAAATAAAATTAAAATATTATAAGGATAATCTTGTATTTTGAAAATAGGTTTTCGCTGAAGCTCCAAATCGGAGCTTCTGCTTTTATGTTATACAATAATGCTTTTCGGCTTTTAAAAAGTCAAGTTTTTGGAAGTGTTTGGCCCTACTTAAACTTTTGAAACTGCAAACCACTTCTTAAAGCTGGCCAAACATAGGGATAGAACTTGGCTATGGCCATACAAATATATTAACCATTAAATGTATATTTTAAAAAAATATTGTTTGGAGGTTGATAAATATACCTTTATGTAAATTAAAAAACCAACAACTTTTCCAACTCTATAATATTTTTTATTATATTGATTGCCGAATTTTGGTTTCTTAAAAAACAAGCATAAATTCAATGAAGAAAAGGGGAAACAGAGTTGGTTTCTGTAAATCCAAGCTTCGTGGTCGTGGGCAGCCACCCAAGAGCAGAGAACTGGTGACAGCTATAACAATATTATTAACAATTTATCCATACTTACCGGCCGTCTCATATCTGGATGGATACGCGTGCAACATTTTCAGTTCACAAAATGTTAAAAAAAATCCGTGTCAAATGGATTGAGGCAGCCATGGTTACCTAAATTATGGTACAAATCTATACTTAGCTCACCCCCCACACCCACTGCAAAACTTATAGCTTCTTCTAGCCCTTTGCTTCGCTCAAGGCCAACGAAGGACGCCAAAGAACATATAAGAAAAGTTCACCAAGAAAAAAAGATCTCAAACAGAAGAAGATGGTGCTAAGTTGCGACCAAATCCTCTGCAACTTTCTGCTACATACATCTGTTTCTCTCCTTCAGACCTTTAAATCAATGCTGGTTGCTGCTAGCATCTCGCGCCGTGGGAGAGGAACCATCATCCCCACCTTCACAAATCTCATTTTTACACAGTGGACAACAAGCATTGATCTTCAGCCACTTATCCACACACTCTACATGGAATACATGGGCACAGGGTAGTTCCCTCAGTTCTTCGTCGTCGTCATAATTGTTTAAGCATATGCAGCACACCTGGAATGCATTAGTGGAACCAATACTCAGTGTACAAACATGGATGAAAATCAAATGCAACTTCCTCCCAAGTTTATAAGAACAACTTTTCAGGGCAGTAGGGGGTCCCAAAAATCTATCAGCCAAAAAATGGATTTCAAAACCTATTGTTTATTTATTTATTTTCCAGCCATCTACTTGAACATATAAAAGAGTCCGAGGAAAACTTACAGCATCTTCACCAGATATCATACGCTCCTTCTCTGTCCCGGCAGCCAAGACTCCTCCTTCCTCCATCCCAGAGCTGTCGTGATCTCGAAATCCGCCTCCACCGTTCTTCGACTTGAACTTGTACGTTGGCAGACTATTTATACACTCGGTGGTGGCTCCTCTAGTTTGAGAAAACTCTTCCCGGTAGCCAAGGAGAGAAATGATGCAGGGCAAGCAGCAACAGATTGTTGCGCATAATATAAACGGCATTGCATATCCTATACAGCTAAAAGTAAGGAAAACTATACACAATCTGCAAAGGGAAGAGGGAAATAAAACGTGGTCAGCTTAAGCTTGTAGGCAAGTCGAACAAAGAGAAGACACGTGCATTAAAGACATACTTGTACAATTTGGGTGCATCATCTGGACTTGCATGACCTCCAAATATCCATACGTTACCAACAACAAACCACACTGCAAAGAAGCAATCTAATCCCATCTTCAGATGATCCATTACACTATTGATTCTGTAAAATCAGAGGCAATATATTAAGTCAGCAAGGGCACTAAAATGTCTAAGGATAAAAGGTCATCAGCCTTGCATATCAAGCTAAGAACTTTCTAGTCGGTGTAACAGCAAGACAAAAAGAGCTAATACTATATATCTAATCGAGGAATCTCTTTCAAGTAATGTACTTCATATTACCCACTTCGTGAATTGCTTCTGGGTCCACTTAATTGTTTCATCTTAACACAATTGATCCAATTGGCATGAGTAATTCTGATCAAACTTCCCTGAGATGGGGTTCGGTTACCATGCAGATAAAGGGTGGGTCTGCACGGTAGACAATTCCCACTACGATGCAGCTTAGTTTGGAGTGTCCAGAGTAGTTTTGAAAATCTGAGTAAACCATTAAACTGTACAAATGAAAGCTTTAAGGTCTAGCGGGCACAAGAGGTACAGCAGACTACAGCTTTTGATTTTATCCTAAAATATCCCCATTGGCATTCCAATTCGTAAGCTAGTCAAAGTAAATATTTTAGAACGTCGATCAGATAATAACATTATCATTTTTCAAATATATGACGTGCTTGAATCAGTTTTACTTACAAGTCCAGTAACCAAATATCTTACTGCAAAACCTTATCAAGGATAACATAACGTAAGTGGAAGACACATTACCTTGTAGTTAGATTCCCCGGCATTTGATTACCCCTTTCATTCGTCTCATCCTGACTAATAGAGATAGCAGTATACGGTGCAGAATCAGGAAGCCCAGCTGGTGAACTGCCTTCACGTCCTTGTAGGGGATCTTGCAGTATACCTTGATTACGAGTACGAAACCGCCAGTATAGGATAGGAAGGGTGGCAACACAACCCGACGCATAACCCACAACCCAAGCAAATAATGGGGCTTGCGGGTGTTCATTTCTCGAGAGCGACAAGACAACAACAGAAGCCACAATCTGGCCTACTGTAATAAGCAACTCAACGGAGATCCATAACCCGGAATTCAAAGGACTCCTTCTTCGCCGGCCATACGAATCACCTCTTCTCGAGAATGTTGAGTTCCTAGAGTTTAACCTAGTTGACGGAGTTGAAGAAGGCTGGTAATTGGGAACTTCTTCTGCAGCGATGTTGGAAGGTCTGTCTTCATGATGTGATTCATGATGGAGATCATCACGAGATGATGACGTCGATGAAGAAGCCGTGTTATTTCTTGAAATGTCTATTGTTACGTGCTCATGGTCGTGATGATGCATTTCGGCACGATCCATAAGCAAAGGGGAATGATCGGTTTGGGATATGCTGATTGGATCGGAAGAGGTGACATCCATCTAAAGTCTCTACCCCAACTAACTCTGAATTGCAGTAGAGACAAGAAATCCCATAAAAGTAGGAGCCTTCTTGCAAGTCTAACAGATAAGATGGCTCCCCGTTGAGCAATCTGGAATTGAGAAGATAACCAAGCTTCAATCGCTTGGCAACTCGAAATCAAATTATGCCGTCAGTTCTCTATGTAGGCTGGCAGAATAAGATAAAATTTCTCATCAGAACCCCCATTAATTGTCTCATCAACAGATTTAGCACATACCAAACCACAAACAGGCGGGTAATTTGTCATATGAAGAAAACTAGAAAATTGATTTCTTTTTTCCCCCATGGTCAAAACTAAGAGACCAAGCAAATTATGGGGAACGATGCAGACCAAGTTCAGGGTGCGAAAGGAAGGGAGAACAAGGGAATCCCCATTAAGGGAAGCTACAATTCTGAACGATGTAGACATATAACCATAACCCTAATTTAAACGATGCCCCTACAAAACCCATAACATCAATTGCACATAAAGGCATAAAGTTCACATCTTTTACAAATTTCTGCAAAATTACGGTACGAGGATCATAATCATCAATTCCAGTGAAGGGGGCACAAAACAGGAAGGACGAAGAAATAAAAGCTACATATGAGACAGATTACCCGATTTGTGCAGGCAATTGAAGAAAATGAATGAAAGGGGAGAAAAAGAGGGTTAAAAGAGATAGGGGTTTATCGAAGAAGCTCACTTTCATTTTCATCTTCTTCTGCAATTTCCTCGAGAATATCTAGCGTCAGCTTTTCTCGCCTCCATTATTGTTGACAGCTCTATCTAATGGCCCCTTCTTTTTCTCCAGAGGTAGGAAGAGAGGGGCTGAGAGCGATAACGTCATTTTTGTCTCTTAATTTTCTTTTTACTTAATTTTGAAATTTCCGATTTATATTTTGTAGGTAAGCTTTTACTTTAAGAGTCGGTAGAATGGTCGGAGCAGAGCAGGCCGTCGGATCATCGTAGGTGGTCCCGTCAATCTGATCGATCAACAGTGGTTACTGATGAGCGGGAGGTAGGTAGCTTAAAGAAAACGAATGGAGGCTCATAAATCTGCGAATTAGCAGGTTTGTAAAAAGTAAAACTTCGGATAGTTGTCCGAATCTTGCCAATAAATGAGGCATTTCTATAAAATGGTCACATAATTTTACTTTGTTATAAAAAAATCAATTTGTAATAAAGCGAGAATTTTCGTTGCCAAATGTCACATTGCCTGGTTGTAAGGGAGGTTGATTGTGATTGAGAGCTTCCAGGTTCGATCCTCACCGTTGTCATGGTGTTCGCGGAGGTACCCGCCTTTGCCCGAACAACTGACGGAGGTCCCGGGGTTTGGCCCGACTACGACATCACAACCAAAGGTGGTGACCGTGGAGGGTGTTCCTCGAAACTGGTCATGGCAAGCTGGTAGCCACTGGGAATGTCTCTCCAAAATCAAGCATGTTCTTAGGCAACACTAGGGGTGTCAGTTCGGAAAAAACCCGAAAACCCGAAACCGAAAAATTACTGAAACCGAACCCGAACCCGATAAGAAATTGCGGGTTCCGGTTACCCGAAACCCGAAAATTGCTTATTGGGTTCTGATTCGGTTAAAGCAAAACCGAAACCCGAAAACCCGAACGCCTAAGAATACATACTGAGTTCTATTCATTGGAGGTTTTTAGCTGGAACACGAAAAACCGATAAGCAAAACCGAACCCGAAACCAAAAAACCGAAACCCAAAACGAACCCGAACCCGAAAAACCAAAAATGTATATAATCGGGTCGGTTTCGGGTAAACCCAAAAAACCGAACCCGAATGGACACCCCTAGACAACACCTTTGCCTTTGAAGACATGGACGAGAACGCTGTGAGCAATATCTGGAATGCAATGCACCTCGACACTACTTCGCCCATGGGTAAAAAGAATTGTAAACCGTCCTCGAACATTGGCCAACTGCACATTTATGCATGTTTACATCCTCGTCGCTTGATCATTTAACTTGGTGTTTATATAGTTACACAATCATATCCCTTTCCTTATCAATCTAGACTTTAGCTTCCCTCATCCTTTTCCCACTAGGATTCATTTTCTTACCTTACTAGAAATATTAATTAAATACTAAGATCATTACTACCAATCCTATTCCAACTAGAACAAATAAATTAACTAATATTTACAAATAATAACCAAATAAGAAATAATAAGAAAAATATGAAAAGATACGCAAGCCCAGTAATTTTTGAAATGCTACGATGACGCAATCTCGTAACACTTAGAGAATTGAATGATGGTTAGTTAATGGCAACAATAGCAAGTCCACCAATGATGATGACGCTGGTGGAGACAACATCATTTTTGTTGTCGGATGAGGAGAAAGAGGTTTAAGATAGGTTGCTTAACCCTAGGTTATGTATCCTTGCATAACCAGATCGGGACCCTTAGTTTTGAAGGGCCTAGATCTAAAGGGTGTCCATTAATGATTTTTTTTTATCCCCCTCACTTTTCTTAATCCACTCCATCTTCTTTGTTCTAACTTGATTTTTTTTTTCACATATGGAACGAGTTTGTTGTGATCCACGAAATAAGATACATTTTAAATATATTTTGATAAAAATAAAATTTCATACCACTTGTTACCACTTTCGTTTTTACTCAAATTTGAAAAATATTTCATAGAAGGAATGAGTTTGTCGTGATCTATTGGATCTACAAACATAAAAAAATACAGGACCAAAATATACCGCTTTGGTTTATAGGGGTGGTAACTGGTGGTAAAAAATGATTAATGTGATAAATGACAGTTCGTATATTCCTACTATCATGTATTCAACCATTCTCCACTATGATATGTTCATACCATCATGATACACTTCCATACCACGTAGTATGATCTTATGTAGTACCAAGCATTACCACTATGGTATAGACTAGTAATAAATGTGTTAATATTTTGTTTCAAAATATTTCAAAGTGGATATCATTTTGAAGAACACAATTGATCTGATTAATCTGTGCAAAACAAATTAAATTATGACTTAAAACAAAAGAAAATTAATCTGTTTAAATTTATAGGGAAATTAGTTAGAGACCTTTCATAAATGATAATGTAGATATTCACAACAAAATTGTTCACTGCAACCGTTCTTGGAGGGGACTAGTTAGTATAACAACAGTCCTTTTGTTGTTAGGGTGACAAGACAACACTATTCTTCAACCAATAGAAAGTTAGGGTTGTGATGACTTTTTATTAGTTAGGTTGACCTAGTGTAAAATTAAAGCAAAGGTATAATTATCATTATGAATATCATCTTTAAACAATAATAAAAAATACAATAACTATTTATAATTTTTTTTTATTTTTTGTCCAAAATTTTGATCGCCGGTCACCTGAATATGCTTTTTGTCGGCAGAATCCTCCCACCGTGGCTGGAATATGCTCACCATCACTGGAATCAAATCACCGTGATCGGAATATTCTTATAGGCGTCGGAATCTAGTCATCAGGGCCGAAATATGCTTATCGACGTCGAAATCCGGTCACCCGATGGTCATCAGAGTTTGGTCAACCATCTTTGTTAACTGGTCAACAGTCAACCAGATGTTATGGTCTGCATTGTGAGATTTATAATTTGGTTTCTTATGTTTTTTGTATGTCTTTTGTGGTTTGCTTTATCGTAGTTTTGGTTTGCATGAAGAAGTTTCTGGCGTGCTTTCAAAAATTTTGTGGTTTGCTTTGCGGGGTTTCTGGTTTGTTTTAATATATTTGTGGTCTGCATTATGACGTTTCTGGTTTGCTTTTTGTGGTTTGCTTTATCATGTTTCTGGTTTGCATTATGAGGTTTCTGGTGTGCATATAAAATATTTTGTGGTTTGCTTTGTGGGGTTTCTAGTATATTTTAGGTGATTTGTGGGCCGCATTAGAAATTTTTTTGTATGCTTTTTGGCGTCGAGGAGTCGGAACAGGAAGTGGTGGAGATTCGGCAAGGTCCATTTCAGGCATGCGAAGCCGCAGCGGTGCTCAAAACCTGATTCGAGCTCCGACGACTACTGCCCTCTTCTTCACCATCTAGATTTTTCGTCGATGAAGAAAAATGGCAACAAAAAAGCGAGGCGGAGGAGGAGAGACGAGTTATGTGAGAGAGCTCTGTCGGAGGTTGAAGTTAGCGGTGATGAACTCAATTTTCTGGTGACGCCACTGCAATTGTTGGGAAGAATAGAGACTAGGGACTCATAATTTAATTCGTTGCTTTTTGGGTTTTAATTCAACTTGTAGTAACAACAAAATGAGTGTTGTTATTCTATCCGGTCCCTTCTTGGAAAAATATGAGATGTTGAAAAACCATATCAGTCAAAAGATAGGAGAAGAGGAAGAAAAGAATTTGGGAGGGATAGCGTCGGTTTTAAGCAAATTGGAATAAGGAAAACTAAAATTAAGGCATTTAAAAATTATACGACTAAATATTGCTCTAATTTTATTATAATCGTTCTAACTCAAAAGTATAAATTACTAAGGCCTTATTTGCTTAAGGGTTTTTATCATAAATTTGGTGCACAAAACTCAAATTTCATGGACTTGGAACAAAATACATTATTTGTTTCAAAATTTTAGGGGAGATAATTCCGTGGGCAAACGAGCCCTAAATGTTCTTCATCAATTGTCCCTACTCCTTCAAGCAAGCCTGAAGTCTTCTTTCCTTTTCTCTTCACCGCCATCATTGTAAATTCAGTTTTGCTGGTGGTGATCGATAGCTAACAATCAGTAGCGGCAGCAGTGGTAGAGAGAGTACTCTTTATTGTATTATTTGTTTGTATGTGTATTTTTCTAAAAACAAAAAGTACATAAGGTTATATAGGTTAAATTAAGATGATTTAAGTAAAGTTAAAATGATGTTCAGCTATATAAAAAAACCTGAAGGGAAGAGCAACTATTTTAAAAAATTCACTATTGAGACATTAAAAATGTGTTATACTCCAAATATCTCATTTGAGCTTCCTTTCCAAACAAGATATTTGACAATTTCAAAAGTTGTCACTCTGCAACTGTCTCATTTTAGCTTCTTTTCCCATGTATGAAATTTGTCAAACTATCTAATTTTGAAATATTATGACAGAAAACCCACAATAAAACCCCTATAAATGACTCTAGAAATGCCATCCAAATACATAAAGAAGAGAATTATATAGGGTGACAACTCAACAAATCCAAAGAAGAGTATTTCTTGATTTCTCCTAGGGGTGTTCAAACGGTTTGGTTATCGTGGTAACCGTTTTAACCGGTACTATTCGGATAATTTGATTTGGTTAATTTGGATAATTGGTTTGGTTTGGTTAAAATTTTTAGCTTGTTTGGTTTAGGTGGTTTGGTTTGGTTTCAGACACTCCTAACCAGTCAAACCAAATTAACCAGTTAAGTAATTAGTCATATATCTAACATATATTATATACACATAATACTTTGCATAACCACTCCAGAGTTAACGTTCATCCCTTTTAGACTCATAAAATATAAAGCTCAATATTGCTCATATAGTGTAATATTTGTATATGTAAAGTCTAGACCACAACATATGGACGCCTAATTCAGATAAATTTCATACATTATGATGAATGAAAACTTGAAAGGAATGTCATTTTCAGCCTATGATAATTGCTAAGAGACTAAGTCAATTTACACAAACACAACAATTCATTAACCCATACCATTGTCATAATTTTTTGTTAGGTGAATACTTCTATGCTAATTGTAAGATAATTGTCTTAGTTGCATGTATTTTTGTTAAGGGTCAACTATAACTACGTGTTGATTGTTATGTTTTATTCATTATATAAATTGCGAATTGTTGTATTAACCGAAAAATTTTCATCGTTAATGATAA